TCACCAGCAAAGAGCAAGAAGTTATTATTATAATAAAGATTAAAAAAATAATAAGAAACAGTGTATATTTGAAGAGAAATTCAAGATAACTGTGTTTCATTTGACAAACCACAAGTTCACATCGATGCTAAATTATTTTCAGAAAGTAATATTTCTCCAGATAGACAGTGATGCATGACAGTAAGGAATCCTTCATCATATGCGTGTATTTGCATTTGAACCCATGTTTGTTTGGCCTGGAGGTGGCATCGATAAAATCACGGCCTCGAGTTATCGCAGAAAGTAATCTCCGGCACGATCTTTTCCAATATCTCGGTAATTTTCTTTTATAGACATTCTATTTTTATCCATATAATTTTTTTTTCGAGCAAAAGCTCTTGTTTTGTTAGAATGCTGGCTAAATTTGATTACACTGTCATCAAGAGTTGTTTTTACTAAATTTTTGAGACTCTGAGCTCAAGTTGTTTTTTATAGGGTCTGGGAGGGAAGGAGGTTGATGCAGAATTATGAGAATCCTTTCCTCCACTGTGACCTAAGCAGATCTATTGTGGAACCCCTAGAGCTTATAGCCATACCTTGGAAAGTGAGCTTTTCCTTATAATTATTAAGCACTTTCCTTGGTGCCTCTTCGCGACCTCCTTTGGTGAGAAATATGTCCTACCGAACTGGCTGTACCTTAACTGACTTCACATTCACAAAGGATATGTGCCGATGTCTCAGATTCCTCATGGCAGAGTCGGCATGCTTCCGTCTCAGCTTTGCAGATGGTAGTTAAGAGCGCAGTGGACGGTATAGAGGCCTATAATTTCCCTCAAATTCTGCCTTCTGAGAGATAGTTCCTTCGCCATCCTTTTTGAGAAATTTATAAATCTCTTATCTTGCCTCATACCTGGTGCGTCCAGTGTTTAAGTTTTTCTTTCTCAAGCCATTTTTCCAGTTCCAACTTAAGCACACACTCCTGGTTCATCTATTATTCTGCCTGCAGAGAGAGAGGAGTTCCTTCTTTTTTGAGAGATTTATAAATCTCTTAGCTTGCCTCATACCTGGTGTGTTTGTCCACTGTTTGGGTTTTTCTTTCTCAAGCCATTTTTCCAGTTCCAACTTAAGCACACCCTCCGGGCTCACCTAGTTGTGGTTCTGGTACCATGAGAGAGAGTGCTGCCCCTTTTTTAGGCTAATGGCCTGTCCATTTCCTTCGATGCCTTCATGTCGGGGTACCTATTTTAAGGTAATCTTATTCTGTTTGCCAAAAGTCATCAGGGAGTTTGTTTAGGCACTCCATACAAGTGTGGAGTTGAAAACATTTAGTGCTTCCGTGGCTGTCTGACTATCTGAGAGTTATTTGGGAACATGTCTGAAAGTTGTCCAACCCCTTCAGAGGAGCAGCCAGGTTTATCCGTTTCTTCTACGTCTTCCTTTGTGAAATTTACTCTGTTCATTTTTTTAGGGCCTCTACTGGATCATATCGATGGCCATAGTAAGGATCACCAATTTATCCTCTTCCTTTCTGTGGACGACTTTCCAGGCCTTCTTGGGAGCCTTTGTTTTAAGAAACCCGAGGATTTTCTCTTTTGTGTACCTTTTGACATCGCAATTTGGGACGTATCTCACCACTATTTGAGGTTGTGAGAGGTCTTTTTCCTTTACCATCCGCAGTGTGGCTCTGTAAGAGCACAACTAAGTGTTCAAGTTGAAAAAGTCACACATTACACCTTAAATAAAGCCTCAAATTACAATTCTGAACTGGAAGTTAAAAGCGAGGTCTTTAAAGAAATCATTAAAAAAAATTATATGTACGTCCTATATAAACGTGATATCCCATTCTTTATGTTAACCCCTCATTGTTCCTGTTTTCTGGATGTCAAATCTTCTTTTCTGGTAGATGCTCACACCTCAATTTATATAAACATAAGTGCAGCTTCGAAGTACTTTATTAATGAATTTATGTTCGATAAGTTGAAACTTGAAAGTCATTCTATCGAAAAAACCATCGAAACGATCAACGTATCTTAACTTTCTTTTGATCGTTGACTCCGATGATTACCCAACTATACCTCAAGAACTTTTGATGTCGATTTCATAACACGGAAAGTGGTGGGAGATATCCTCAAGCGGATTTTTCTTACACATTCGTTGAATTTCGCGGAAATCGTTGTAAATAAATTTTTTTGACTGATAATTTCGACGACCTCTGCCTGACTGACATTCCTAGTGCAAGCTCTAACATCATTTTTGTCAAAAGCTAGGAGACCGATGTTCATGGCAGATAATTTGTTTTAAATAAATTGTTGAGTGCATTTTATAACTGTATCTAACATTAAAATCGGACTATTATTGCCATTTAAAAAAAGAGGTCAATTTCTGACAAATCATTTTATTATTTTTTTTATTTTCTTATAGAAATATTTTATATGTTTTAATGATTCGTACCTCGTTACAAAGCTACGTCCTCTTATTTCAAAAGGTTCCTTGACGTTAAAATCTTTTTGCCGTTTTTTAATTATAGCCGGTTCAGTAAGACATTTCAATAATGACTTCCGAAAAATCGAAAAAATTTTAAGGGTAAAAAATCGATAAATTTAAATTCAAACTAAAATTCATATTTAGGGCTCTCTAGAGGTGCTAAAACGAGATAATAAAAATTATGGCCTACATGTTTACATGAAAGATATTTGGTTTTCAGAATTTTTTGGCTATTGGTAAACTTAGATGACTTTTACTATATTTTTATGGCAATCTACATTAACAAATTCTGTAAAATAATATATTCGCATGAGTGATGTAAGCATGTAGAAAGACGAAATAAAAATGTTAATAAACGAAGTATTTTAACTTTTTTTAAAATTTGGCGAAACAAGTGTCCATTCACAAGAAGTGGTAGATACGTGTCCGATATTTTGGAGAGTAGAATGTATTAGTTCACTATAGTGTATTACCTCCACAAAAAAATTATATCCTAGTTTACTTGAAAAACATTTGGTTTTTGAATTTTTTTGGTTACTGATAAACTTTGATAGGTTTTACGAAATATTTATTGCAATCTACATAAAAAATGCTTAAAATAATATATTCACATAGTTGATTTGAGGAAGTAGAAAGAGGAAATAAAAATATTATAAATTTTAAAAAGATTTTGCGAAACCAAGGCCTATTCTCAACAAGTGTGAATACGTTGTTATTTTGAATTTATGTTATATTGAATATTTTCGAGTGTAGAGTCAACAAAAAAAGTTTTGTCCAAATCAATACTAATGAACCAAGGCAGTTTTTATTGCCAACAACCGTAATTGCGTGTACATAATACATAAATAGTTTTATTCCAGAGTTTCTCGTGCATTGTTCGACCTACACGAAGACAATTTTGACGGTCTTTGTCTCAACGAGTTGTGATGGGAATTTAAGCTAAGAAGTGAGGTTTTGCACTTGAACTCGGCTGTTTGGTTTAAGAGCCAATATACGCAAGAAAAGTATCAGAACTCAAAAAGAGGTAGTACAGTTGGACTTTTAAAGTTTTGCCTTTTCGCTTAAGTCTTGGGCAAAGGAAAGACAAAATTGATGAATCATGACAGTTTTTATTGCCATCAACCATAATGGATTGTATTTAATGCATGAGCCAAAACAACAACTTCCTACTGTCTTTCCTGTAAAATTTTCTTTTGTTGAGTTGTGTCACTTTTCTTGTGGGTGTGCGAAATATTTCCGGAGAAATGTGCCAGATGTATTAATTTATTATAAAGTATTAGTTTCACCGATAAACATTTATGACCTAGTTTGCTTGAAAAATATTTGGTTTTTATGTTTTTGGCTATTGATAAACTTACATGGCTTGTACTAGATTTTTATTGCAATCAACATAAAAAATGCTGTAATATAATATGTTCACATAGTTGATTTGAGCAAGTAGAAAGAATAAATAAAAATATTTAAAAACGAAAAATTTCAACTTTTTTTTTTTTTTTGCGAAACCAGGGCTTGTTCACAAGAAGTGTGAATACATGTCCTTTATTTTGGAGTGAAGAATCAACAACAAAAAAAGTTTCTTCCAAATCCGTAACCCACCAACCTGGTCGTCCCTTTGGTAATAAAACCTACTACATAGATATTTATGCTTGTTTGTAAGGTTTGTATGTTGTCTTTTGCTATCAGAAATAAATTTATTCCACTCTTACGGTCATCCTTGACCACCGTTATCGTTAGAGCAAAGTAACTTAAATTACTGAGAGCCAATAAATGCAAGAAAAGTGTCACAACTCAAAAAGGGATAGTTTTTTAGGAGTACACAGCTGGATTTTTGAAATTTTGTGTTTTTGCTTAAGTCTTGGAGAAACGAAAGACAATATTGATGAATCATGACAGTATTTATTGCTATCAACCATTATGGCGTGTGCTTAATATTTAATTCAAAAGAAAAGTGAACTTCTATCTGCCTCTAACTTTTCTTTTGTTGAATTGTATCACTTTTCTTGTGGGTGAGCTTTTTTTGTGAGTACATTTCCGGCGAAATGTGCCAGGTGTAAACGTGCCTTTGGACTGATTGTGATGTGAAAACTCAATTTAGGCTGGTTGTCGATGACAGTGCATACAAAGCGGCAAGAAGCCTGAAGGACCGGAGATCGGAATGTCGAGTGACGTTACCGGACGTTCCGACGTTAGATGCGTCTGGGACCTTTGGCCGTTTAATTTAAGGTCGAATGTAAATTCTGCGCTTGCTGGAACCGCCCCGCCGTTTCATCCACTGCCTGTTGTATCGCGTTCGATTGATTGTTTTAAGTTTGGACTTTAATACTGCACGCAACCAAAACGAGTAAAGTCTAAAATAAGTCTTTCTCGAGGATTGAACGCGCCCTTTGAAATTAAGCCAGCGAGCGAAACGAAACTCAAATCGAAAACGTCGCCGTTTTCTTTGAGGGTAGTGAAGCATTCTGAATAATTAATTCTACATCGCAACCGGGACGTATTTTGATAAGATCCGTCGGAGATTTCACCCTTTGATCGGATGGGACTTTGTTTTGAAAAAGTGACGAAATCTGTTCCTTGTTCCGACGGCCGGGGATAAAATGGAAACGGTTCAGCCACCCGTTTTTAAATTTAACAGGCGGTTCGCATTTCGGCCGAGCGAGCCCTTTGGAAGTTTATTTTAGACGGGTTCGAAAGGAGGAGTGGGAAGGTCTGGGTCAACGGGAAAGGGAGGAGAGAGGACGGGGAGGAACGGCAACTGGTTAACCCGGCAGGCTGGCAGAACTCACAGAAGGGTGGAGGGGCCTCACGTGATCGCCACTGAGTAGCGAGTAAGCGGCTCACAGCAGAAAAAACGTCGAGCATGAATTAGCAGCGGTTGAGACCGGCGAAGCGACATCGAAGAAAGACGAATCTTGTCTAGTTCTCGGGCCGGAGAGCAGACGTCTGTGGTGTTAGGCGGCGGTGTTGGTGTCTGATCCCATACTCCGCCGACCGGGCTTCCTACCACTCGTGATACGGTGTTCCATTTTACTGATAGCGATAATAGGATCGACTCGAAGGATAACAATGACGAGGAGGATACGGAAGCCACCCTTTCGAAAGATTTAATTTTCCTTTTTTTTAAATTTTATTATTATGATTTTTATTTTGTAAAAATCTCCAAGCACAAATCGTGCCTTTTACGTTCATGTCTGCGTTTTTTTTGTTTCGTTCGAGACTTTTCGAATCATGTTGAAAATATCACAACTGAATTTTGTGCTTTTCCTCGTGTGTCATTGTTACTTTTTATGCTTGAAATTTGAAATAATGAAGAAATCGTCTGTCTGTGATCACCGACCCAAGATTTTCCCTTGTTTCGTAAGTGTTTTAATTGTTTATGCTTTGCATGTTGGTAACGTACATTTTTGTTGTCATTCTTCCGGTTAACCCTTTTTCCTTGTTTATGTTCTTGTAAAAACGTTTCTATCTTTGTTCTATTTTAATTTTTAGTTTACTATAACTCCTAGCTTTCGTCCTAAGCTTTTCACCATCGACGGACGGAAGGGACAACGAATTTAAATCGCCCACATTTTCGTCGATAAATAATTTTATTCAGTTTGGAAGTACAAGTACAAAATCTCTTAAAAATTATCGTTTTAAATTCTTCCAATTCAATTTTCACATTGAGGAAACTGGGCAGAAATTTTATTTTGATTGAAGCGAGTAGTTTCAGTAGATTGTTTTAGTCTAATTGTTTAATTACAGATCTAGAAACATTTTTAAATATTCCATTATTGCAGGTGGAAAACTAACAATTTAAATACCCAGGATAATGAGTATAAACATGCAATTAACTCTAAAATTATTTGTGCAATAATTATAATGTACACCTATTATTACGGTGCAGGTGTAAAAAATTAATAAGCAAGTACAATCAAGCGTCTGACAATATAAAGACTGAGTGAACTCTGTATTCTTATCATATCCCTTTAAACTAAGTAAATCAAAGACGCAACAAATTTAAATTCATACTTGTCTCTTTTTGCTAATGCTAATAAACTGTTATCAATCAAATTGAGGTTGACTTGTGAAATATTTCATTTTGGGTTTGGTGGGCGATAAGCTGTTTGCATTTCCAGTCATCATGGTCTGCCTATTCTTAACTTTAACTGGAAAAATGAAAAGGGCCTGCAGAAAAGTGGATAAATTCACCTCTGAAAACGTTGAAACGCTGAAACTTCAAATAGGCAAAACTGGCAAGAATAAGCTGACAGGAATGATTTGAGACGATCGAGCTACAAAGTTGATGACAGCACACCCCAGTAAAATACCTAATCAACTAGAAATGTGTGATGATTAGTGACCGTTAATCGATAATTATTCAAAAATCGTGAGATGCTCTCTGGTGTGATAGGTTTCAGAAAAACATTTTCTTTATCGTGCACTCTCAACATGACACGCAAGAATGGCACAATTACACAGAAGACAAACACTTTGAGCCCTGAAGATATCTCAATAAAGATCGAAATGTTGGCACGATAAAGAAAATGTTTTTCTGAAACCTATCACACCAGACCGCATCTCACGATTTCTGAATAACTAATCAACTAGTTTTATGTTAGCCTGTTTTAGCCTAGTTTTGAATCCCAATTGAATGTATTATTCAAAAGATGACACTTTTGCTGGGCCTTTAAATCATTTTTTGTTTCCCATCTGTCAGCTAAAGTGAAACAACCTTCTGAATTAAAGTTTGTAGAATTTTTATAAGAAAAACAAACTTTTACTTGAAGTGACTGGTTTTATAGGATTGTTTTAGCCTGAATTCAAACTCTTGCAATCTATTGACATTGTCATTTTACCAGTGTATTCAGCAGGCACCCAAAAGAAACTACAAGCCATGAAGACATACTGTGATTAAACAGACTAACTGTAAATGTACAAAAATATAAAATTACTTGTATATTCAGATTAAATGTAGATTAATTAGTAAAATATCGATTGTTGTTTTATGGTTATAACAAAAATCAAAAGAACACCTATTGTGAGATTTTCTCTTGGAGTTTTCAAGGTGAGGAACCTGTAGGCTCATTTTGGTCTGTCAGACACGTTTACGCTGACTCAGCGCTGAAGATGGTTAGAAGCTGAATACAGATATTACAGACTAAAACAGTTAGGGTAGTTAGACCAAAATTATCCTAACTATTTACAATTGCTTAGGTATTATTAATAATTAGTTGAAATTGTGAGGACCAGTCAGGAATGAAGTATTTTAGAAAAACACCTTCTTTTTTTTCATATTTTTGCTGACGTTACGATCTTTATTCAGGTCATCTTCAGGGCCTGGGTGAATTACAAAACATTTGTCGATTGGAAAAAATACAATACAGTCGTAAATAATATAAATTTTGAACCAAGTCTTTCATACTCACATAAAGTGTGGTGCAATTTGTTATTGTGGTGTCATATTTGTTTCATGTGAATTTGTATTCTGCTATTCTGCTAACACTGCTACAACACACATTTCTACCCGAGAGGTATTATTAATCTCTTAAGGAAAGATTCTATTTGCTGTTTATTTTTTTTTAGTCCATCAACCACTACCTAAATATACCACTAAGGTAGTAAGTCGATATTTATTAACATTTACTTATAAAATAACTAATATATAATTATTAAGTTAATTAATATAATATAAAATAGTCTATGTTTTTTACTTGGTCCTATTTGGCCAAAGTAATTATTTAAATCGATTTGTAAAATAATACTCATATGGTGAATTATGGTGCGGCTGATGCCCATTCAATCTTGCGAGATTTGTTTCCAGGAGAATTTTTAGATTAATTATTAGTCTATTTCTAATAGTGAGCTCTGATTATTTATGGCCAATTTTGAGACTTGATGGCCATGACTTTTCAATGTTAATTCAGATATAAAATTTTCTATAGATTCACCATTTATTTTCTTAATAAAATAGCGAATGTTTAAATATGGGAACAAACTGTACAAAGTTTAGACTTTTCAAATACGACTAGCTTCTAATAATTCAAAACAGTTTATAAATTTATATCAAATATTAAATAAAAAGATACTAATGAAATATATAAATCATAAATTGAAAATTAATTAACGACCATTATATTTAAAACAATCAAATTAAATTGAAACAGTATTATCAGTAACAAATGTAAACAGGAGTAATATTATTTGTTTGTAATGGGATTATGAAAGCTTTTCATGTAAGTGTATTATTACTTCAGGAGAAAACAACAATTGGATTTCTTTTTATTTACAATATCAGTTATTGTGTAACTGTAAGTGTAAACAGTACTAAGATTGCTGTTTTTATCTTGATCTTGTTTGTTTATAATCAAATTCAATGTGAAAAAATATTAGTAAAAAATGTAAATTATCTACATGATTAGGTCATCCTTTAGTCCATGTAACTAAAAATGAACATTTAAAGGTGGAGGTATGAATTATTTTTTTGTGTGTAATTCTAAAAATGTATCCGATTGTCTCTAATCATCCTGGCTTGCCTATTCTTGCTGGCTTCGTCAGGACAGGCCTGTTTCAGCATCTTTAGTGGTTGTTTGTCATACGATGTTTTAAAGTATTGTTAAATAACTAGTTTTACTGGCTTGTTTCATGCAATTTTATTTATTTATTTTGTTTTAAAATATTTTCAATGGCATTGTAATCTGTTAATTGAAGTGGAAGATTGAAAAAAATTTGTTTGTTTTTTCGACCTTACAATTTTTGTAATAAAGAAGTTAGGCTGAGAATGTGTTTTGTCTGAAGCAAGTATTTTTACGTTTTTTTGTTTGTTTTTTTTGTCTAATTTTTAATCATAATTCTATTTTGTTATGTTTATTTATAACATATCACCAGGTTTTTTGTGGAGCTGTACTTTATCATTTTTAAAAAACAGTCAGAAAATGTATTTTGCTTCAGTTGAATTTTTAAATCAATTTTGAAACCCAATCAAATTGATCTTAAATCTATTATATTATCGTGGTATTAATTCACCATTTATATTAATAATAAGATTACATATTTTATGGAGGGGCTTAAGCAAGTATTTTTACGTTTTTTTTTTTTGTCTAATTTTTAATCATAATTCTATTTTGTTATGTTTATTTATAACATATCACCAGGTTTTTTGTGGAGCTGTACTTTATCATTTTTAAAAAACAGTCAGAAAATGTATTTTGCTTCAGTTGAATTTTTAAATCAATTTTGAAACCCAATCAAATTGATCTTAAATCTATTATATTATCGTGGTATTAATTCACCATTTATATTAATAATAAGATTACATATTTTATGGAGGGGCTTAAGCAAGTATTTTTACGTTGTTTTTTTTTTTTGTCTAATTTTTAATCATAATTCTATTTTGTTATGTTTATTTATAACATCACCAGGTTTTTTGTGGAGCTGTACTTGATCATTAAAAAATAGTCAGAAAATGTATTTTGCTTGAGTTGAATTTTTAAATCAATTTTAAATCCCAATAAAATTTTATCTAATATTAATTCACCATTTATATTAATAATAAGATTACATATTTGATGGAGGGGCTGCTTAATCAAGTATTTTTAAAAGATTTTTTTTTTGTTTGCCTAATTTTTAATCACAATCCTTGTTTGTCTATTTTTATTCTTAAGATATCACCAGCTTTTTTGTGGAGGTGTGCTTGATAATTAAAAAAATAGACAGTGCTTGAGTTGAATTTTTAAATCCCAATAAAATTTTATCTAATATTAATTCACCATTTATATTAATAATAAGATTACATATTTGATGGAGGGGCTGCTTAAGCAAGTATTTTTAAAAGATAGTTTTTTGTTTGCCTAATTTATAATCATAATTCTATTTTGTCTATTTTTATTTATAAGATATCGCCGCTTTGTTGTGGAGCTGTACTTGATCATTAAAAAAATAGTCAGAAAATGTATTTTGCTTGAGTTGAATTTTTAAATCAATTTTAAATACCAATAATATTTTATCTAATATTAATTCACCATTTATATTAATAATAAGATTACATATTTGATGGAGGGGCTGCTCAAGCAAGTATTTTTAAAAGATTGTTTTTTTGTTTGCCTAATTTTTAATCACAATCCTAGTTTGTCTATTTTTATTCTTAAGATATCACCAGCTTTTTTGTGGAGGTACTTGATCATTAAAAAATAGACAGAAAATTTATTTTGGTTGCGTTGATTTTTTTAGTAAATTTTGAATCCCAATTAAATTTTATCTTGATATGAATTCACCCCTTATATTAATAATAATAAGCTTACATTTTTGATGGAGGGGATACTCGTTACATTTGGGGGGGGGCAGATAGTAAATAGAAAAATATATTACAATTATTTGTTGAAGTCATGAGGAGCAGTCAAGAATGAGATGGTTTAGAAAAACAGACACCTTTTTATTTTTTTGCCGACGTTTCGACCTTGTTTCAGGTCATCTTCAGGGCACAAAGTGTGGTATCATATCCAGCAAATTATAAAACAACAGGCCACTAAGAAACATACATTACAATTATTGTTGATTACACAGAAATTTGCAAAAATGCTGTTTGTTATAAACAAATTGTCTGAAAATATAATCTATTCCTATTACGACTTTTTAAAAAGCACAAAAGATCTCATCAATATGAGCTAGTTCTGGGCCTTTTATAGTCAATCAGCGAATTTATTATTCCACTTGTTCGCTTATCTTTTTTTAATAGGTGCATTTGCAATTTATGATTGATGCTTCCCTGGTTTGTATAAACTGGATAATTACCAAGTTTTATCTCCTGCAACAGTAAAATCCAGTCTGCATTTAATTTCCTGCTTGAGAACTTTAAAATTACAGTTTGCAACACTACTACTTTTTCACTTGTAGTCATTAAGCTTGCCGTTTCATATCAGCTTAGTGGATGAACATGTGGCAATGCCTAAACAATTGAGTACCATTGGAAATTGTTCAATATTAAAATTACAGATAAAAAACTTACATACGGTATAAATAGTTTGAAAATATGTCTACTATATTATATACCATTTGAATTCATCCCCATTCGAAAGGCAAATAATTAATTTCACTGTGAAATCACAATTTCATCTAGATTTATATTTTTATACTTTATAATAGTTCAAAGATTGTATAACATCTCGAAGAAGGAATGACAGAAAAATTTTGTGCATGCAAATAATTGTGTTTTCATACATTTTTTAAACCGTGGCAAGTACTTTGAAAGGAATTAGCATAAGTCATATTTGTAAGCAGATTTAAATTCCAAACCTTGCTTTTTTTATAGTTCAACCTTAAATCATTTCTAATTTGATATTTGTGTTAGATGAGTAATCAGTAATACCTTTGAATATGGTTATTATGTGAGCATATGTAAATGTGATTCAGAATAAATTTACTTAATCATATTTGACTTTCCTCGTAGTTTATTGTCATGTAAATATTTAATTTTCTCATTTAATTGATTCATACACTGCTATTTGAAAAGCTGTTTTCAATTATTCAATAAATAAACTAAAATAGTGGACGGCAATAAACATTTATTTTAAGAAAAATATTTGTATGTTTACTAATAACTGAATTTGTATGTTTAAATTTGTTTTTAGCAAAGTTTTCTCTTCTCATTACTTGACTAAAGTTAAGTAGGATCATTAAAACCTAATTTGTTTTTACATGGAAATGTTTATTTAATGCACAATTAGCATCTCATTTAAAAATTTTAATTTACTCATGACTATTAATACATGAATTAATTGGTTGACTGGCAGGTTGAAAACAAATGTTGAATTTTCAATTCAAATCTTGTTTAATTACTTAAAGCATGATTTTTTTCCTTTTAATGTAAACACTCCATGCAATGTGAGCATCAGAAATTTGCCAAGTTTTGATATTAAATAACCGAAATGCTTGCTTGTGGTTGATTGGCCTTCAGTTGTATACATAAACATGATTTGTATTGTTTTTTGTTAGGACAGCAAGTTTGGACCAANTGATTATTATTATTTTTAGAATTACCTTGACGCAACAGAACAATTTATTGCAAAGAATGATTTTTTGGGCAAAAGGACTGTATGTTATGACATGAATTGTAAGTTATTTACTGTGTATCCATTATTATATGTAGTAAATCAATTTTGTGTGAATTAAGCAAACACTGTTTTCTACCATTTTTAGCGTTGTTGTACAACTGTAAAGCTGGATTTTTAATTGACATAATATATCACAATGGTATTATGAATTATTTCCTTTATACTCAATCTTTAGAAAACACCAAAGTTGTAGAGTGTTGCTGAATGAAATAAAATATTAGCTTTAATTATTTTAACTAGTTAATTATAAAAACACTTCTGGTAGTCTGGAAAAATCACATTTCATTATAAGTTAATAGTTCAGTAGTTGTAAAAATAAATCCTTTATTATCTCTCTGTAATTGCAGTTTACCATTAATACATTATTAATTAAGCTCAAACACTTGGGAAATAAAATATAACACACTTACTCAAATAACACTAAAAAAATTACTACTCATGTTATTTATATTGCAACGTTATTAGGAACATTCCTACATACCTCGATAAAATCAGGTAATTCAACAAAAAATAAATGAATAATTAATGTACACATAACATTTACATAGATAACACTTAGTCAAGTTATCCGGTATCCACAATTGTGAAATGGCTCCACAATGTATATAATGCGTTTTACAAATTATCCTTAATTGTAACATAATGCAATCAATATTTAATAATATTATTATTATTATTATTATTATTATTATTATTATTGTGTATATGTTTATATACTTTGTCTTTCTTTGTACTTTTAGATGTATAAAGTTTATTTGTACGCACCACATGTTTGTGATGTTTATAACATTTTCTAAACCGTTATTCGACCATCTATGTGAACTAAACTGATTTGTTTGTTTCAGGGCCTTCATTATATAAAGAATAAAGAAAATTAATATCAGTGGTCATGTTGTTAATGTGACTAGGTAGTTACATTATTTAGTGGGCTGTTGTTTAGTCTTAAAAATTCTTCTAACTGTGTCCTGTATGCATTTGGGAATTAAATTTTGACTGGTAAAATTAATTTTGTTTATACTTTCATGCATGTTATTCATTTACATTGATATACTGAGAAAACTTGGTACAGAATTTCACTTTTAAATTTGTCAAGTAGCTCATTCATTTCTATTGTATCTCTCATTGAAAAACATTATTAACCAATACCAGACACTTATTCGTTGAATATGTATTATTTATTATATCAATAATTAACATTTTTTCCTGAAATGTGGCTATTTTGTAAGTGAAACGTGTGATTTTTTATGGTAAATGTAAATGGAAAGGATATAAAAAATTAGGAAAACGATTTTTTGTTGAAATCACTACAAATTATTATTTGAAATTATTGATGTAAGGCCTTCATTATTCAATCCATGTGTGGACAATTCAAAAGCACACTTGTTTTTTTTTTGTTTTTGTTTTTTTTCAAAATACTTAATGCCTGCAGAGTGGTAAATAAAGTTTGATTATCCCTTATTTTACTATTCTATACCTAGCTGTTTGGCTGTTTTAATGAATTTCACCATTTTGCCATCCTCGGTGATTAGTCTGTGTGTTATTCCGTAAATTTAGTCTTTTTTTGTGAACAGATGTGTGCACTGTCCTTACCTCATCAATTTGTGCACTTGTGTTAATTGGTCCTTGGTGAGCTGAAATGAGTTTGTAAACATGAGGTTTGTTCCAATGCACAATCACAAACCAGTTGCCAACTAATCTGTGATTTATAACTGCGCATGCCCAAACATCGACTGATCACAGCTTTTTAACTCTGTTGAAACGCTATTTTCCGAACTCTGATTCTTACCAAATTTGTCCGTCAAAAACCTTAAAATCAATTGTCTTTCCTCTTGCCTTCTTTTATGGACAGTTTCAATTTGCGTGGTATTCTCATTTATTTATTTATTTTTGTATCAAAATAACATCTCAGATTGCTTACAATAATTGATTCTGGGACTGCAGCATTTAAAGAAAGAAAGAATAAATTTTAAAATTCATTTGAAATAACATACATTTTTAAATTTTCGTAAATAAAAATATAGTGCAAAAAAAATTCTATAAAATAAAATCTTTTTTTAATATTAAGTAATTATGCAAGAGTAATTATATTATATATTCTACAGAATTATTTTTCATGGATAATAATTATTATATAAAGAAAAATATAATATGTATATAAAAATGCTTGAATGTAAATGTAATGAATGATGTTGATGATGATGCTGGTGATTGATACTAGGAAGCTTGATAGTTTGTGCTTCCCAGGCACTGCAGCCTTCTGGCTTATTGTACCTTCCTAGTTCCCTAGTTCAGTACAATTGACTCAATCCATCTTCTTAGAAGTTTAGGTCATTGACTATCACTGCTACAATTTCATTCCGTAGGGATTTTTGTTTATTTTTTTGTATCCTAGGTTATGTCTCCATTGAACCATTGATTCGTATTCAAATATGATATGGGTGGCTGTTTCTTCGTCATTACATAATCTGCAAATGGGATCATCTTTGAATATGATAATGAATGAAATAATGAATCATATGCCAGTGACCGGTTTTTAATTTAATTTTATTTTATTTATTTATTTTTTTTTAATATTTTTTTTTTAAACCTGCGTATTTGTTGGAAAATAAATACATATATATGTACATGTTTTCTTCACATATAAATCCAGTCCCTTGTTGAGTGATTTAATGATAGCGAAAGTGATGCGACACATCTGCACATGTTTCTTGACTGCCAGTCCCCAGTCAAATCCTAGGGCTGTTTTGATGGTCTGAAACCTGACTTGAAAAAGTGTTTGAACGACTGACTGACAGTTTGGGTTTGTAGCATGATGGAATGCCAAACCCCAATTGTGTGTATGTACCTGCCAATTTGCTGATGGTTTGGGCGCATGATGGAACAAACCTACATTTTTATTAACCTCCTGACACACCTCTCTATGTTTATTATCAAAAAATTGGTTGAAGAGGACTTCAATTGAGATTTTGAAAACAATAGTGAGTAAATAAAATGGAAAGAAAACTTCCTTTTGTTTTTTAACTTGCAAGTAAATGAAACAACAAAATAATGGCATAGCTCTAGGCCAGATCCTGTCCTACCTAAATAAGTATAAAGTAATTAAGTAAAATCAAGAGATTCCTATCATACACGAGGACTTAACATCCAACTAACCATTGAGTTTCAAGGACGAGGGGTCAAACCATTTTACAATACATTTGTCATAACAATATCCATTAAAAAGCATCCATGGGCTCTGCTGGGATTCTAACCCTGTTCTGCTAGTGTGGCAAATACAAGTCAGACACCATAACCACTCAACCACCACAGTCCCATAATAAATATGGAATAATTTAATTTTTTTTTAAATCTAAAATATAATATAGAAAATAATTTTTAAAAAACTCCTAATTTCGACAGTTCAAAAAGGAACAACAAAAGAAAACTAACAGTTGAAGAGGACTTAAAATGAGAAATTTAAACTGGTATTGAATAAATAAAAATAGGAAATATAACTAACTTGTTTATATTACATAATATGCTAGTAAACCATTTAAAAAATTATTTATATCTGGTATTTCTGACTATCAATGACTAAGTAACTAACTGAGTTTGGAAGCAAAAATTCTTTGTACCTAAATTGTTGAGATACAAGCTAAATTTAATGGCATTTCAGATAATGGCATTTCGGCTGAAGCCAGCCCTAATTATTATAATTCTGATTGGGTGCATTATAATTTCCTATTCCTCCTTTATGAAAGGACCAGTCATGCGATATCATGTAGAAACAAAAACGGAAGAAAATGAAAGTTCTCAATTGCAAGACGTCGGTAAGTATTGAAGTAACGAACATACGAATACACCTGTTTTAAAAAATGGGTTTTATTTAGTTTTGTCGTCATAAAAATAACTTGTTTTAAAAACTTTTGTTTTTAGATAATTCATCAGTAATAGTTAATGAGACGAAAGAGGAACTGTCTGCCAAGCCAGCAGAAAAACCTGTAAAACCATCATTGCTTTCTTTGATACAGTCTATTCCATTGAAAGCAGTAGAAAACCAAACAGATAAGACTTCTCAAGGGATCTTAACAGAATCATTATACGAGGCCGGTTATGATATACCTAATGTTGATTTATGCCCTGAATTTGGCGAGGGTTTAAAAGTCCTCGTAGGTGTAATGTCTGCACCTAGTCATGAAGATGCAAGAAGAGCGATTAGATACACATGGGGTCATTATGCACTTCAAAAGAACATCGTCCTTGGATTTATCGTTGGAAATTCAAAAATTGCTTCGTTGAACGCTATAACAGCAGAAGAATCGACGTTATATGGTGATATTATAAGAGGGAACTTCATCGATTCCTATGATAATCTTACATTGAAAACGATATCATTTTTGAGTTGGATAGACAACTACTGCTCTAAAGCTCATTTTATACTGAAAACTGATGACGATATGTTTATAAATTTTCCAAAACTTTTGAGTTTCATAGACAAGCACTGGAAAACTGAAAAGACTATACATGGTAGATTAGCAAAAAAATGGAAGCCGATTCGAAACAAAAGATCGAAGTATTGTGTTTCAACAAAGCAGTTCTCCCAAGCAGTCTTTCCAGATTTTACGACTGGTCCTGCTTATCTACTGACTGGTGACATAGTGCGGGACATGTACACCAAGGCTTTGAAAAGTACGTATCTCAAGCTAGAAGATGTTTTTACAACGGGAATAGTTGCTCAAGCACTTAACATTAAGCGGGTTCATGTAAATGAATTTATAAACAAACGAATCCCTTTTAATATATGTAATATAAAAAAGAGTATTAGCATACATATGATAAAATACCATGAACAATTCGATCTCTGGAAAAAACTTTCAGACGGTCGTTCCAAGTGTAAATAGTAACATACCATTAATTTTTTTATTTTATTTTTGTAGATAAATAATTAGATGATTTAAAACAAATGTTTATGCAGTTATACTATTCAGGTACTATAAACATATTAATTATTGAATTGAACAAAACCTTGACAACAGTATTGTAAATATTTTATTTTTATTATTATTTAATTATAATGAATTAAAATTGTGTTTTTTAAGTAGCAAAATCAATTGTATTTATATTTTCAAAAATTTAGTTTAATTGTAAATTTGTCTGTATCGAATATGTATAATAATAATTGTACATTATGTGAAAAATAGTGCCTTTATACTATGTATTTGAAAGAAGTTAAAGACTTATTGTATATTAGTATGATTAGAAGCATGTGATTTATATTACGTCCCTAAAACGAAATGAGGACGAATAGATTGGGCCTACCTATCATCTAATACTATAAAAAAATTTAATATTTGAACAAGTTGTTTTGTGCCGAAAAACAAAGAGACTGTTCCAATCTAAAAAGCTATGTATATTTTTTAAATCAAACCAAGAATTTTAATGAACATCTTTATTGATTTTTTATAACAATGTGTAATAAATTATTAAACTCATATTAAAAGCAATATCTTTTAAAATGTTAAAGCCGATAATTTTTTATTCTGTTCTAAAATATCAGAAATAAATCTACCAGCTTTGTTTCAATTGTTATTTGTGGTTCTGTTTTCTTACCTTTTAGATGTTATTTAGCATTAGTTTTTTTTTTTTAACCTACACATTTTTATTAGAATTGCGATTTTGACAATGCAATATAGGGCTGAGAAACATGAGTGCAGGGATTAAAGTCTGCATTAAATAACATAAAAAAGTGGTATTTAAATATTATGGAAAATGGTATGTAAATAAAGAGTGAGCAAGTTTCTGAGAAATAGTTTCTTTAATTTTTCTGGAAGGAATGTGTGTATCAAATTGGTGTACAATATTTCATCGATATATACAATTGTTTGACTTAGCACTATTTTTATTCTTTTAAAGAAACAAAATTTTCAATTTAATAATCTCTATTTGTATTGGTGTCAAAAAAATTCCACTTTATTTGACGAACTGTTCACCTTTTTCAATATTTTTCTTGAGCTCTGGCAGCGCGTTTTTTAGCAAATCCTCTTCGTAGCTTGACAACTTGCCAAGACCCAAGTTCTGAACAACACCCTCTTTCTGCAAACAGATACATGTTATATTAATAGCAATATTTTAATTAAATTATTGTTTTATAATTACACAATTACAAATCTCCAGATGCCTAAGAGAAAATAAGCAACATACTTGACTGTGGGGGGGGTTAGAATAAAAGCTTGAATGAGGCTGATCGTTTTTGCATTTTCACAATTGTGTTTTGAAATTTGTGATGAAATTACCGTGGTGTTTATATCATTTATGGGGGGGGGGGCATTGAACACGTCTTACAGTCAATGAGTACAGAAAAGTTACTTTGCAGTGGTCTCATAATATTATGTTCAATACATTTATCCAAGTTTGATTTTCCAATCATTACCCACAAAGCTTAAATAACCTTTGTTCGCTAAAAATCTTGTATTGCTGTTGAGATTTTCTTCTCCAACACCACAATTTCCATTCAATTTATTCATCAAGCCCATAACTGCAAGATGTATGAAATGCTGGTGCCCTATCCACATGGCCAGCGCATCCCCCCAACTGGATATTTATGAATTAATTTTTTTTTTCTTTGTGTTATTTAATTTTTATTTAATTATTGACAATATAAATCCCAGTATATGCAGTAAATTTTACAAAGTAATTACTGTTCAGCATTATAAATTGTAAAACGACTTAAATATTGATATTTTTATATCAGTTACACTCTGTCAAATTGTCTTTTAAGAGAATTAAAATTTATACCGAAAATATCTACCTCAAACCTATTTATATTTCTACAGATATGAAGTATAGGAGTGTAATATATAAATAGTTTGGTGGTACATGCATAATTATAAAAGGCATTACAGTTACAAGTTGTACAGGATTCTAAAATTTCTGATTCAGAACAATCAAATTCATAAGTTAAATTTATAGTCGACTCTTAATGACGACAATTTGGGTGTTGTTTGCTGCCAATCTTACGAAGGTACACAGCACAGATGGTTAGTTCTTAATCATTGTATGGTGGTAATCTCTTTCTTTTTCATGTCCAGGTTGCTAAACCATGATAGTATTTTCACAAGAGGAAAAAGCCATTCCCTTGTCTGAAGATGTATGTACACAATTTGCCATTCTATTCGATTTTTCGTTTCTAATATTTAGAAAACTCTGTGTAGGGAATCTTTATGTTTCTAGTGTTTTAAACCTTTGTTGCATAATAGAAAGTGTCAGCTTTCTCATTACTGTGTAGACCCATGTGACCTTTAATCCACACAAAAGAAACCCTTTACACATAGGTTTTTTTAAATATAATAGATAAATTATAAATGATCTTTTTAATGTCAGCTGCAATACAATTTTTGATAGTTGCAAACATTGTACAGCACTAGGGCAAATTATAATATGATTTTTAATAAGACATTTCGTCCTCATGAGTGATGATGCATTCTTAATTCGTTCACCATGGCAATTCATTTTTTACAAGTAAGTTTGCACTCCTAATTTCCACAAATCAGAGTCAATGAGACAGAGCAGAGGGGCAAGAATTTCTGAAGAGAAGTTTCCACATAAGTAACAGAATGTATAAAGACAAAGTAGTTTCCAGAAAAATAGGAAAAGAGGGCCTGAACAATTTCTCCTCAACCAAAGAGAATGAAAATGTACCTAAGTAATTCCTAAAAATGGATTACCAAGACATGTTGAAATGAACACAGAAAAGGATATTTGAGGAGAAAGGGAACTTAAGAAGAAAAAAGTAGCACTTACAAAACGGCAACAGAAAATACACAAAATTTCCTAACAGCTGTGAAGTCAAAAACAGCATTTAAACAAAATAGTAGGATTATGTGCCATACCTAGCTTACCTTCTAGAAACTTTTTTACTTAAAAATTTAAAATGATTGTAACAAATATTTTTTTATATAGACAAATAATATATTTTTAGTGTTTATGCCTATTCTATAGGGATGAATTACTCTGATGAGGACTGACGGCAGTGTCCATGACCGGTATACCATTATAAAGGGGCTTAAAATGTACAGAAATCCTATCATTTTGCAGGGAATGCAAAAATTGCCTGTTAGAGAGGTGGTCACTATAGAAGAGTTTCTCACTGTACTAACTTGGAAAGCAAATCGAAATAATTTGTAGTATATTGCAGATGCTCAACCGGAAACAATAATACAAAATTACTTACACCAAGTACTAGAGGTGTGGAAAAATATTTGGCTTCTGTAACATCTGAAGCAACGAAGGAGCATTCGACGACATTCTTTTCACCATTGAGCGCTTTGCAAAGTGAAAATGCAAACCTAGCTCCAGCATAAGCCATTGATAAAGTTGCCGAACCAGCTCCTGCTTTTGCTTGTACAACTTCTGTTCCAGCATCCTTTTAAGAAAAAACAGTGCATATGTATTATATATTCAAATCATTATTGCAAAAAATGAAATGACAATTTACCTGAATTCTAGCTGTAAGCTTGGCTAATTCACTATCAGTAAAGGACACTGAAGGTTTTGCCTGTGAGATAAGTGGCATGATAGTTACACCGGAATGTCCTCCGACAACTGGTACATGAACTTCTTGAGGGTTTAGTTTCTGAAAATATTTGATTATGAAATAACTCCAGATAGAGATCTAAAATACTATCATCGTTTAATTCTAACCTTTGCCTCAGCAACGAAAGTATTTGCTCTGACCACATCTAAAGTAGTTACTCCGAAAACTCTTTTTGGATCATAAACGCCAGCTTTCTTCAGAACTTCTGAAGCAATTGGCACTGTGCTATTTACCTAAATAACATATTTATTTGAAACGTTAATACATATCAATTAAAAAAATTTAATCCTTGAACAGTAATAATACATTTTATGAAAATATATTCTTTTGGTGTCAATTAAGCATGAATTACATTTTATTTGATCATCAATAATCCATCAAATATTCAATAATCAATTAATTTAATATCAAAATTAAAGTAGAAATATACATACAGGATTGGAAATAATGCCAAGAAGTGCTTTTGGGCAATATTTTGCACAGGCTTCTACTAAATCGCGGACAATGCTTGCATTTGTGTTAAATAAGTCATCTCTTGTCATTCCAGGTTTTCTTGGTACACCAGCAGGAATAATAACTACTTCCATGCCCTCTAATGCATCCTAAATATGAAAACATTAAATAATTAATAATTATATTTAATAAACATGTAGGTGAAGTCATTATACATAAATTGTCCAAGGCTTTCCAATATTTTACAGTAATTTTGCACAACATCACAATCAAAAAATTACATTTTTTTTTTTAAAGAACCAGCATCCCTGGGGTTTATATAGCCATGTGGTTAAGTATAAAAAAAAGTCATTAAAAAAATTACAATTAAAATCGAAAGTTGCAAAACAAATTGTATTTACATGTAATAAAAGGAAACACCTTATTTCATGAATTGTTAATGCTATGTCTTTAATTTGCAAACCACAATAACAATTTGTGTAATATTTTTAACTGACTAAATGGCTATGTAAAATTAACAATGCCATGTTTAACCCAATTACTCTTACTGGTCATTTAACGATTAATTTGTTCATTACACCAATTTAAATGGATATACCTTTAATTTTTCTGGTCCATTAAACCCACTAGTTGTAGAATCGGTATCTATGTGGCTCAAATCCGCTGCCACCCCTGGAGTGTGAACAATGTCATACAAAGATAATTTTGTCACAAGAGGAGACTGTTTTAACAGAAGCGCAAGAGGCTGACCAATTCCGCCACTCGCTCCGCACACAGCCACTTTGACATTTTTCTGAAATTAAAATTTGTACTAATAAAAAATAAAGTTTATTTATTATTGCTAAAAATAATATTATAACAGAAAAATAATCCAAAAAAGGTCATAAAAGGGCAAGTGTGCAATAATAGAATCTCTCCAAATGCAGACCTTGTCTGGTATCTGTGGTATCTGGAAAATATTCCCCTAGTACCACCATATTATCGCATTGGAAACTGAAATATTACAAGCCTTTCAAAATAATAATAATAATAATAACAGTACAAAATTTAAAAAAGTGAGTTGTGGCCCTGCTTTTGGATACAGAAATATGGCTGGTAGGGGGGGGGGCATTTTGAATACAATATTACTTACTTTATGTAAAATTTACAATAATAATAATTTATATTAGGCAAATGAACAGATTTTTTCAAAAACAGAATTCCAATTCAATTAACTTTTAAAATTATTACAGTTATAGATAAATGAAAAGCTTGTGTACATTTGATTACCACTTGATACTATTTAAAATATGACTTTTAATGAGTAATAACAAAACCAATAAAATAAGTCATTTAAGCTTATCATGATTTTTAAATTTCTTGGATTCAGAGAGTGTTTCTTACACTAAAAAATCATACCAAAAGGTCTAGAAGGAAACTACTTAGTAGCAGTAAAGAGTTTTGGTTTGGGTTGTGTTCATTTAGTTGTGACTTCACAGTTGAAGATAGGACAGGAAGTAGTAAGTAATTTTTTTTCTTCCATACAATTTTTTTTTAAAATGAGAGTAGAAATGAGAGAATACTGTGCTTTTTTTTTCCTTTTTTTAATGATAGTAGAAATGAGTAGTAAATGAGAGAATACTGTGCTGTAAATATTTAGTATGTAAATGTTCTTAAATTTATTTCTGCTTTGTGAGTGTTAAGCCTTTTTATTTTGCACCAGCTTTCTACTGTTTGTAAACATTTTGTATTTTATCCAGCAGTGTACTGAGGTTTTTGCCTTAGGCTACAAGAAATATCTTTAATACGATGTTTAGTACAAGGTACCAGAGCAGAAAAGATAAGATGCCTCCTTAAGGAGAGCCCTGGCTAAATATATTTATCTTTACATGTTTTAAATGTTTACTAAAAAATCGAAAGCATGACAGATAACAAATAAATTTGTTTTCTTCATTCACTAGATACCTAGATCCAGATTATTCATGAGTAAAAAAGTAATAAATAGTAAAAAAGTAGATACATTTAACACTTTAAACAGAATCCTTGTTTACTAACTCTGTTTGCTGTTTATTTCCTTTACAACCTCAGACATAATTTAGAAGAGGTTCGTTATTTTTAGCATGAAGGTTGCTTGTGTATTCTTAACTAGGTTTGTGTTGATCTGTTTACAATTCAAAGTTTGGAGAGTTAGCTCTCTAAAATTTGTTTAAAGAATACACCTCTCTATTAAAATGTTATAATATGTTAATTTTAAAAAATATATTAATGATGAAATAATAGTAATTAAAAAAATAATTAGATAGTAATTTCTTACTTTTAAAAACACTTAAAACTGAAATCATTAAATTTAATCTTACAAATCAAAACTTAAATGGAAAATTAAGGTTTTGGTTGAAATGAAAAAGTCAGTGTCACAAGTGGGATTCAAACCCACGACCTTCGGCTAAATACGCTGCTGCTCTACCACTTGAGCTATCGTGACTTCCGATCCGCTTGGACACCAACTTCCCATCTCAACCCCACCTTTTGAATTTTCCTTCCTTTTTGCCATTTTTCAATGGTTTTTTTTATCAAGGTACAAGGTTTTTTATCTCTACCAAAACCTTAATTAAAAAGATTAATTAATTGAAAAGAATTTATTTGGTCAATGGGACCACGAAACCTAATAGATTAAATGAAAAAGTAGTATTACAATCTTGTGTGAATCCATTTAACAGCAAATGCCCGATTTTACTCTTTTCTAAACAAGTTAAATATTTAGTAATAATTTTTAATAATAAATTAAACTTTAACTTTCATATTGATGCTTTGGTAAAAAAGTTTAGAAAATTATTTTACGCATTTAAAATTTTAAGAAATATTCTTCAGCCAGATTTAATTAGGTCTTTATTTTGCGTTAGCACAATACTAGATAACATATGGGATCCTAGTTTGGGGGGGTACAACAAAATCTACAATTCCTCCAATAATTATTGCTCAAAAATCTATAATAAAAATATTTTTAAATAAACACAGAAAATCACGGCTTCATATAGAAGCACCCATATGCTGTATGAATCAGACACGATATGCTTACAATTGGAATAAAATGGGAATTCAAAATGAGAATTTGTGGCACAGGCTATCGAAATCACGATAGCTCAAATGGTTGGAGCAGCAGTGTATTGAGCCGAAGGTCGTGAGTTCGAATCCCACCAGTGACACAAGTTTTTCATTTTGAAAAAATTTATAATTAATTGAGTAAATTGATTTTTGTCTTGTTTCATCTTTATTATAGCACATGATATGCAATTATGCTTGGAACACTGTTCTCATTACTTTATTTACCAAGTAGGTAATATTTCTTGAATTTAAGATTAATGCAATTCCAGAGCCTCTCATATTTTTTTTAATCAAAATACATTTGTAATAAATATCAGTCATATCTTAATACCTTAGATAAAAGAAAGTAATTGAAACTGAGGAAAAGTAGAAATATCTTAGGTAAAAGAAAGCAATTGAAACTGCATTAAACAAGAAATATCATATATATATATATAAAAAAAGTGTTACAATTTGTTAATGTTAATAATAATTAAGAATAATTAAGTTAGCTCTGGACATTAAGATGGCTTTGAACCAGCTGGGAATTCGGCAGATTTGCTCAATGTTAGCCAGTGTTCCATAGAGTAAGGTTGGTTAGATTATTCTCTTATAAATATTGTATTTTTTGTTACATCAAAGCTTTGTCAATATGTTTGTAGGGTTGTTTTCAGTAAATATATTTGTTTGTTTGTGTTAATTAGACTTAATTGTGTTTTTATTTCTTTTATTACGGATATATTATACACCCCGTACTATCATTCTTATTTTCACGAAGACTAAATCCTTATCGGTAATGAAACCCTGAAAAAGTAGTAATATCTTAGATAAAAGATGGCACTTGAAATGAGAAAAAGTAGAAGATGGAGAGAACGTGCAAGAGTTTATAATTATTAAATGTAATTTGACTTGTTTGCAAAATTTCTTTTTCCCCCACACACTTGCTGGTATTTTGTGCATAACAAGGTATATGGGGACCGCGGTAGCCGAGTGGTTAGCATGAGAGACTCTCACACCGCGGTCGTGGGTTCGATTCCCACCGTCGCCTCTGGTCCTTTTTTCACAATAACCCCCCCAAGTTTGATCACACATATATGAATTGTCACATGGCTAATATGCATAGTTCATAACGCAAAAAAAAAAAAAAAGTATGTTATGTTTTATTCTTTACTGTCCCTATTTTTTGTCATTCAAAGAATTAATATAACCAATACATAATATAAAACTATCACTACATTCCTCACACCAAACATTTCTACATAGTCTTATTCTTCAACAATTTGGCTTTCCTTTCCCTAATTATCCCAATCTATATAATCCTGAAAGGATAATCAGGCCGAACCATTACCCATTATTTCCCATTGTCGGCTCCTTTCACCTCAAAGAAGCCGACTCCTCTTATAAAATTTTTTCTATTCCTACTTCCTTCTCCATCCCTTCAAAATCCTACATACATAAACATAAAACATCAATATATCACTGCCACTCTCAACACGACACACAATAATGACACATCCTCACAGAAAACAAATACTTTGATTGAGTCTAAAATTTCTAGCATTGTATAAATTCATTTTTTCATATCCTACATGTATGTGTATAATTTAAACAATGTTTATAAACCCCAGGCCCTGAAGATGATCTCAATAAAGATCAAAACGTTGGAACATTAAAGAAAAAAATTTTCTAAACCTACGTCACACGAGGCCACATCTCACAATCTCCATATAATCATAACCATACAGCTGTAACTATCAATTTATATTTAAATATCTGTCATAATTATCTAAGATAAAAGAAAGCAATTAAAGTTGGAATGTCTTAGGTGAAAGAAAGCAATTGAACCTGGATTAAAGAAGAAATATCATATATAAAAGAAAGCCTTGAAACCAAGGAAAAGTAGAAATATCTTAGATAAAAGATTGCACTTGAAACGAGGAAAAGTAGAAGTCTTAAAATGGAGAGAACATGTGAGATTTAACAATCGTTAAACGTAATTTTACTTGTTTGCCTTATTTTTTTTATATACATTTTTTTTATTGGATTAAATTTTTTATCATATTTGAAATAGCGTAGTATTTCGATAATTAACGTATTGCATAATATAAAAAGATTATGTTATCTGACAATGTCTAAAATACTTTTGTGTTTGTCACATTTCAATAAAATATTTTTAATTTTAGCTTATCGTAATTACAAATTGTAAATTGAGCTAATTAAGGGAATAAAATCCGCGGAGAGAAATTGGCTAAAATTAGAAGAAGAAAAAATCTGACGCCAAATTTGTGGTTGTTTTACTCGTCAAATGAACAGTTTTAATTTTTAAAAAATTGTTCCATTTGAAGAGATATAAAATTAAAACTGTTTCGTACTTTTTTCAACACACACTGTTTTCATGGTGATACGTATTGATGAATGAAACTGGATAAATAAGAAAAAACATAAAATTATTAGAAACAGATAAAAAAAATTAGTCAGCCTTAGCTAAAAATAACTTCAGCCTGACACACAGAACGCAATTTTCCACATAAACGCCAAACACAGCAGAATTTGAGGAAAATTCGGTTGGGATTTTCGCAATGAAATTTTATCTCGAGATAAGGTATTAAAAAAAATTAATTGAAATTTTTAAAAATTTACCGGCGAAGTTGTCGATAACTGCCTCAGCTGGGTTGAAAATTGTTTCAAGATATTGGTGCTGTGGAACATTTTTTACTCGTGAACTGAAAGAAATAAGGTGGTCTGCAAGAGACGTTCTGCGGTGTACACGATCTGTCTGACGAGGACTGTTAACACTGCCGAAAGTGGAAGTGAAAACTTCTCAGCACGTCGAAAAACCTGGAAGACGAGTGTCAGTCCTGTTAGATAACACCAGGCTGGCCGTTCGTCCCACTCCGGAAAAATTACTCTAAACAGGGAAATCTTTCTCATTTAATCCATTATTATTTTTTTTGGGGGGGGGGCAAGATTTATTAGCATTTTTTACTTTAACAATACTAGATGTTTCTGCGTTTAATTACCAATGATGGAAATACTGTTGAATCTAACCATACCACAATATGCTCACAAAAGATATATAATTTATAGTATTTGCAAGTAGCACACTTGTGGGACACGCAGTAAATATATTCAATTAATTTCCTCTAGGACTACTACTAGGTAAAAGAACAAAAAAAAATGTATGTATACACAGGGTGATCCAGACATAGTGCAGAAAAAAAATTTTGGGTGATAGTACACCCTATTTGCCAAAACTTCCAATTTCCCTATACTTACGTGTGAGGTGAAGGTGAAGAGCCTTTGGAACTGCATTGGCGCAAGTCAGCAACACTAATGACCTGGCATGGGTTCCTGGGCATTCGAGGCATAGCGGCAATGAAAAGGTTGATGTGATGGCCAAAGAGGAAGCCAACATGAACTCTCTAGGTCCTGAACCCCAGTGTGGTCTCGTATCTTGCTGCAAAAGAGGATACATCTTAAAATGCATCTTTAATGAGTCCAAAACTTGGTGGAACAATACCACATGCGTGAGGCCCACAAGAAGATTGATAGAAGGGCCATCTGTGAAACTTACGTATGAATAACTGGAAGGCAACTGCAACTGAACCCAGATTGGTTGGACTCCTAACAGGGCACTGCCACCTAAGAAAGCACATGCACTAGATAGGAGTACAAACAGAAGAAACATTGTGCAGATACTGCCACGATGAAGAGGAGACAGCATAACACGTTTTATGTTTATGTGAGGTTCTATGTACGTGTAGATTCCTGCAACTAGGAGAGGATTGTAATAGAATTACTGCATATCAAATATCAATTGTTGAAAAAAGTATACAAGATTAACGACCACAGCTGAGGTGATAATGATAAATATAACTGTTTGGTTTTTAAGTTTTATAATTTTATCCACAGAGAGGGAGTCATCCTGTAGCCACCCTCTTCCCTTGATCTGACTGCCATGGAGTTCTACATTTGGGGATTCCTTAAGAACAGTGGTTAAGATTTAAGGATTAAAATCCTTGAGGCACCTGATTTCTTATATACTTAGAATCAATTTATCCATACGAATAACTGTAGGTGCCATGAGAAAACGAGCATGGGCGAGTAACAGACATCGTGGAGGACAAACCTCTTTATTTATTTTTTAAGGGAATAAAGATAATTTGTTTAATAATGGGATTAATTTTTTGTATTGGCCATTTTTATCAATAACTTTGGATCTTTAGTTACAAAAAAAACTGAGTCAAGTGTGAGATGACATCACCATTATTAAATTGTTTTACCATTCAGAATTTTGCAGGTAACCAATAAGGACGCAAGTTCTGAACTCCCGTGCATGTAGAAGCACATCGCAACCAACCTCCAATAATATTTGTGGACACTAGCCCCTTACATGAAGTGAATTTCCTTCAGTTGATAAGGAACCCAAACAACAACAACCTTTTTATGTACATAAACTTTCAAATGTTTTCTATGCATATATACAATACATCGATTCCCTAAATTTATAGTATTGTAGGTACATTGCCAGAGGACTGCGGCCAGCATAGCCCCTGGCCTTTTTTTCACCCCCCCCCCCCCACTATGATGAAATAATGAATCGTACTCTGGCTAATATGCAACCTTAAAAAATAAAATAAGAGTACTTAGCCAAGAGCTATAACATTTACTGTGGGACCTATGTATTTCATTTAGCTTGTTTACCAGGTGGAGATTTTTGGTGACCAATAAGCCATAAATTACATATAGTTACACGGTAATAAAATAACACAAATTAAATTTAATTGAATAATGTATTACATAAATAAAATTTAAATTTTTAGCTTAGCCTATTTGGAGCAAGCGAGTATACAACAGATTAACTACCAAAATTATTTACTTTCAAATCATTTTTTTTTTTTTACAGACAAAAACATCTACTGGTTTGATTGAAAATTTATATATTATTGTTATATCTGACCTATAAAATAAATACACAAGACATTTCAAATTATAATTTTTTTGATTCTAAAATGATGCAATATTTTTAATAGAATTAATTGTCAAAATATACAAATATACAATTTAATTTGTTGTAAGTTTTAATATTAGTTTTTTTACAAACTAAATAAATTTTTTTTGTCAATAAATAACAAGCAAGATATAACAAAATAAAAGAAAACATAAAAAAAGCTACTTTCAATTTTATCTATCTATACATATATAATTCTAGACCTAAAACCTTATACCTAAAAAATTATATATACATTCAATTATTTTTTTAAACAACCAACAGGAAATACTGGAGTCATGGCAGTTTGGGAGTTACATTTATATCAATACAGGGAGGATAAGCACACATATTGTGTTTTAATAAAACCGTTTTAGGGATACTTTAATTTATTGATTTCAGAAACAATGGTCGAGACATTTTTCTCCAGATCTCGTAAAGTGTTATTCTGCAATTCGTGAACAATTGACGGATCAAAAGTCTCTCGTGCCTCCTCCAGAAGGACTTGAAAGATTTCACATTCCATGTTGTCATTTAATTTTCTGCCTGAGTAACCCCTGAAAAGTTTTCACATAACTTTACAGAATCAAATAAAAACATACACCATTACAAAATGATGATGATTAATTTTTTTAAGCCTTTTTAGTAATTTAAAATTAAAAATGAAGTTGAATAAAAATTTATTTGTGTGGAATACTGAATTACATATTACTCATTAACCACCACCATGATATTCATAAAGTCATATACCTATTTATAAGTCTATCGTACAAGTAGGACGTCTCTGTCCTTGGAACGAATACTGCAGAAAACCAGTCATCAGGGAAAAAGCTGCACCCATGGTACTCTATGAGATTATTTCCTTTCTCAATTTTTTGACTCAAGAAATTAATAACCTATAAAGTATAAATAAAAAATGATATCATTTATGATTTAAAGCTGTAATCATAATTTAATAAGTTTTAAACTACGAGGTTAAATTAACCCTCAGAGTGCCCATTTGTAAATATGTCGGGTTCGAATGCAGGGTTGCTGGATTTTCATTTTTATCCAGCGGTCCTGCAATCGAACCCAGGACCTTTACCTTACATTGATGAGCACCGTGTCAACACCTAAACCATTGCGGCCATCAGCGCCCCCTTAAGAAAGCTATTTTTAAAAGCATATTAAGGAAATATTGGTTTTTCTTTGATTTGTATTTATGCAATAATAATAATTATGACATATAACATTAAATTATATTTTAGTACCTTTTCCTCATCAATTATTGGGCAACTATAGGCTTCATCATACGATTCAATCAGGTTTTCTTGGATTGCGATGTCACTTATGTTTATCCAGGTGAATCCAGTTTTCTCTGCAACATCCTTGGCAATCGTAGATTTTCCAGAACAAGGAGTACCTGCACAAAGAATGTATCATTTTCAAAAACTACCTTAAAAATAAATAACAGTACTGTATACGTATATATATTTTTAGTTTCTCTGTGGTTCTTCCTTCTACCCAGTATCCACCCACAATCTCGATGTTGGTTATCACACAAACAAAATTTTGGTGTAATTATGCCGGATTGTGGGAACTTTCTTTTTTGCCAAATTAAAATTTCATTACACCAAAAACATTCGAGTCTTGCCTCATCCATAGCGTGTAAGTACTAGCTCTGGGCAAATACAGTTTCAAGGGAGACATCCCAGTGGATCCGACCTTTCTGTCATGCAGCTGAGAAAGACAACTGACTACACTGAGGAAATAATCCATGTTAGAGTTTATTCCAGGATTCCCACTCTCTTCGAGAACTCAACTAGGAGGGCAACTGTGGATGAGTGAACGCATTGATAATGACAAGTCCACTGTAGTTTAAAATTGGTTAGAGACACAGTCCTGCAAATTCATCTCAGAATTGCCAGAACAGGCCAATCAATCTACACGTTTTATTTTTTTTATTTATTTTTAACGCCCTTCAGCCACTATGGGTCATTTAGGGCTTCTTGAAATTCAGTTAAAAGTTGGTGTTGCTGTCGAATGGTCTAATGTGGAGAAGGAAAGGAAGGTCCTGTCAGGGAACAACACCATCCCAAGAGACAGCCCGCCATCAGGGCGGATGTGTAAGCACTCATCTTTATGAGGAATTGTCCTCCTTTATGATTATGGACTTTTTTGAGGGATGTGGGTAAAAACCATTTACAATGCATTTATTGTAGAAGTCCACATCCCCTCAACAGAGGTGCTCACCCATCCTATCCGCCAAGCATCCCCAACCGAATAGTCCACCCAAGGGTGCACCCCAACATACAAACCCCCAAGCTCGTCCTGCATTGATCCCAATTTTACTTTAATATATTCCTTTTATCAGCTCAGTTCTTTCTGAAAATTTAAAGAGAAATAAGAGGGGTGCTATCGCACAGCATCTCTGGCAATTTGAACTCTCTTCTTTCTGTGATATAACAGTAACATGTGGTAAGTATGTGTTTTACCGTCAATTCCTCATTACATACTGAATTGAAAGTAAATAAACTGCTCAAAAATGAATAGGCATATTGCCAATTTTGTAGTATTTACTTTCCCAAACATTTTTATTATAAATCGCATTCAAATTTATTAGAAATTGTTTCGTGATGGAGGTTCTTTTGACCTTTTTGGTCAGTTTTTGTGAAGGAAAATTTAATTAAGAGATTTTGAAAAATAGCAAAATAAAAGTATAAATAAAATATTAATTCCATAATTTTGTTTCTTGGTCACAATATTTTTTAAACTATAATACCGTTATCTTCTCTGTTAGCTAAAACCTCTGTTAGGCACACTTTTAATAAGGTTGTTTCTAATTTCATAAGGAATGTCAGTCCACAGATGTTGCAACTCAGGTGCTGCAGGTCAACTGGCGCCTGATGGTAATCGAAAATTTTTCTCTGCAACACATCCCACACGTGCTCAATGGGATTGAGGTCTAGATTCAATGGAGGAAGGGGCAAATGGGAAATTCCCAGGTTTTCGAAACATTGATGAACATCTCCGCCTCTATGAGGTCTGGCATTTTCATACAGAAATTGAAAATCCCTGCCAATTAGATCCCTGGACTGAGAGATGTATCCCTCAATAATTTCTTGGACATAACAGGCTGCGGTGAGGTTGCCTTCAACAATATGGAGTCCAGTTGGTCCTCCAGTGTAAATCCCAGCCCAGATCATTACAACGCCTCCTCCAAACTGTGCTGAAGGGAGCACGAACTGGGGCGTTCACCGTTCTCGGTAGAGTCTTCGGCGCATGCTATCACTATACAGACAGAAATACGACTCATCAGTAAACATAGCAGAGCATTCCAATTGGTGTTCTGTTCTAGGCACTCGCTGCACCATACTCAACTGAGTTGCTGGCAGTGGGCTGTTCTGCAGGTCGTCTCAAAGGGGCATACGACGTGATGCCAACTATCCATGCTAATAAAAGCCTTGCCAGAACATCTTGTACCTCATTTAGTATCTAGCAGGCACTATGGAAGGGGTTCCGTTTTGCAGCAATGACAATATTTCTGTCCTCCCTTTGCATCATAATGCACTGAGGCCTCCTATTGGCACTTCCAGTCTCCATTTGCCGGTGACCTCGATGACTCATTCTCACAATAATATTGCAAACTTCTGGTTCAAGATGGTTGTCTCTTCCATAGTCGAAAAGAATATAACTGGATTAAAATGAAGAAAAGACGAGAAAAGGTGTTTGTTTATTTGTTTTTGGTTTGTATTTTCTATTTTGTTTTATCCAACTAACAAGAATATATCGGTTGATTTAACCAAAATTAAGAGAATAAAAATGAATTACAAATATCCCTATTCATTTTGGAGCTGTTTAGATGAGATTTTTTTTACAAATAATTCAAAAAGTTCATTTCACATTTGATTTGTAATGTTGTTTGCCTGGAATGCAAAGAATTTACATTTTAGATTTCATAAGCCTTTTACGTTCAATGTGCGTTTATACAAAGGACGGCGTTGAAGGAGGGAAAAATATTAAAGACCGTTGACGATTTCCATCAGGACCGAAAACACGCATCAGACGGCGACACGACTTTTATCTTTGATATCGATTTGAGAGGATAAAAAGCATAAAGCCATCAAAACCGGCCAATTTTTTATGTTGATTTTTAAACGGACAAGATTATTTATACATCCACGTAGTGTTTGTATATCGTAAAACGCTGCAACATTGCTGTCCAGCAGAACGGCGTCACGTGTCCAAAATCGGGGTCTAAACGTAACGTCGAAGCGGCGTTGAACTGTGAAACGTGCCGGAAAAGCACGTCGAACAGCCGCGGCTCCACTCCGCGGAGGCGTTCCAGCCTCCAGACGGCATAAAGAAAAACGAATCCGTCAACTCACCTGTTATGAGTATGTTGCACCTTCCCATTTGATTAGACGCCGTGGCACATCTATGGATCGGTCGGATTTGAAGGAGCCGAGTGGGTGGACGTCCGGGGAAGAACCGACAACAGGAAAACTTCGGACTGACAAATAACAATTGACAAGAACCTTCCGGCGAGGTTTCTTTCCCTTACTAATCAATTACCACTTAAGCCTACTGAATACCAACTTGGCCAGTTTTCAAGGTCAAAGACTTCTTTTTTTCCCCTTTAAAGTTTAAATTACTTTCTACCGTCCTTTTTTCCCTCTCTCTTTCTCTCACTCACTTTCTCTCTTTCTTTCCCGGCCTCTCACTCTTTCACTCTTACCATCACTTTCTCACTCTCTCTCACTCTCGCTCTCTCTCTCTCTCTCTCGCTCTCTCTCACTCTCNCACTTTCTTTCTCTCTCTAAATAATGATGATTGATCCTGATGGTCAATGAAGGATTGTAAGGGTATTACTTTCTGATACTAACAGACAACATACAAACCAAACAAATAAGCATAAATATCAATGTAGTAAGTTTTATTACCAAAGGGACGATCAGGTTGGTGGGTCACGGATTTGGACCAAACTTTTTTGGTGATTCTACCCTCCAAAATATCGGACACGAATCTTCCACTTCTTGTGAATAAGCCCTGGTTTCACAAAAAATAATTTTTTTAAGTTGAAATTTAGCCCATTTTTAACATTTTTATTTCCTCTTTCTCCTTGCTCAAATCAAATATTCGAATATATCATTTTACATTTTTTTCAGTAGATGCAAAAAAAAAAAATAATAATAATAATAAAAGATGCCAGAGTTTATCAATAACCAACAAATTTCTAAAAACCAAATATTTTTTAAATAAACGAGATCATAATTTTGTTTCATATAACTAATATGAAATTTCAATTTACCACCTCTAGAGATCCCAAAATATAAATATTTGTTGTATTTTAAATTTATCAATTTTTTTACCAATAAAATTTTTCTGATTTTTGAGAAGTTGTCAGAATATTTGATTGATACAGCAATAATTTAAAAATGGCTAAAAGGATTAACGTCAAACAGACTATTTGAAAGAAGACGAACATAATGACTTTTTAATGACGTATGTACCTTTAAAATATATAAAATATTACTTTAAGAAAATACACAAAATAGCAAAAAAAGAGGTTAATTTCTGGCAAATAATTTTCCTATTTTGTATATTTTCTTATATAAATATTTTATATACTTTAATGGTACATACAACGTTCAAAAGCTATGTTCTTCTAGAGCATAGTAAAGAAAAGGATGAGAACAGGATAATGATGCGGACAAACTGATCAGTTTTTTGCTATTTTTTCTCTCAAGGAGGATTGTACAACAAGTTGATTCATACTAGAAATGTGCCTGATGGGATGTTTGAATATTTTGTATAGAAAATAATTGCTTTATTTATTCCAGAAATAAAAATATACAAATGATTACTATATCACTATAATATATGTATTTATATATTTGTAATACAAAATTAAAATATATGAGCGAGTTCAGATTTTAATCTTCAGTATGTTGGGTCCAGGGGTTCATTATATCTCCGTACACCACCGTATTATAATTATCATTAAGTACAGTTTTAAGCCGTTTCGTGTGCTCTTTGTCCATTGTTTCACATACAACTGTAACCTAAAACAATTTTTTGTTTATTTAAGGAAAACCATAACAAAATCGAGCAATGAGAATTGTGCATGAGGGTAAATGTATATTTATAACTGATTTGCCCTATGAAAGAAATCACTCTAACTCATCCACCTAGTTTCATTTTTTTACGAGGGTTCACAACAGCAGAGGTTATATCAGCCCTCGGGGTGCCGGTTTTTTGAAAAAAAGCCCATTTGGAAGTATGTCGGGTTTGATGCAGGGCCGCTGGATTTGAACCCAGGACCTTTGCCTTACAGTGATGGACGCCGTGTCAACGCCTATACCGTTGCGGCCACCGACGCCCAGTTAGTTTCATTTAAATAGTTGTAAGTACATGGGCATATGGTCTGTTTATTTATAATATACATAAATATAGATAATTATATATACTAACATATATAGAAATAGAAATATGTTTATCAAAAAAACATTTTCACAATAGGGCTTGGCCTCTTTACAGTGTGTAGAAAAATATAACATAATTAAATAACAAAAAAGTTACAAAATATAATGCAAGAATAATAATAAATAAACAAAATTTGTATGATATTAACATATTTGAATATGTATGAAGGACAAAAGTAGGTATAAATGAAAAGTACAAAGGAGAGAAGAAAAACAGTAGCGATAAGATCATGTTAACTCATGTTAGTTAGGTAAAATCATGGATTGTTTGCAAAAAAGTTGAAAGCTTCACGTCTGAAAACCTGAAGGGGCAGACCGACCTAATACGCTGCGGAAGGGGGACCAAAGATGCACCCTAGCAACTCTATAATAATAATAATAATAATAATAATATTTTTTAATAGAATTAATCCAATTTACAAAAATGTTTAAATATAGAAATGTACAATAAGTAAAATATAACAATACAAAAGCAAAACTAAGAAAAGTAAGTAATAATTACTTATGTATTAAACAAAATGCAAAGTAAGAAAATAGATTAAAAGAATGTTTCATATAAATATATACCTAAAAAGATCATATTTATCATTGTCATTGTAAATTTTTAAATTGTCATTGTAAATTAATATGACATATTTTAAAATGTATAATTAATATTACAAAACAAAGTAAAAATAAAAGTATTTTGTTCATATTTAACAGAATTATATTTAGTAAAAATTTTAATTAGATACAATAGGTAAATATAGAAATGTATACATACATACACGTATAGAAGTTAAAGTTAAATAAATTATATGAAAAACATTTTATTGTGATAAAAATAATGAAAAATAATTTAACTTAAAATATATGTAACAATTCAAGATTTAACGTGTCTGCACACTTGACTGTAGAATGAAGAAAAATAAAATCTCTTTAAAAAACCTAAAACTTTAAATTATGATATGTTATTATTTATATCTTGATGCAAGCTTTTTATAATATTTAAACTATGGTTAGAATTAAAATCAAATATAATGAATAAATATAAAGGGCAGAGCTAATTTTTGGTTTTAAAAAGGTAAATAAGAGATAGGTTTTTAAGGTAATAAAATAAATTGATACACATACTTCTTATGTGTGCTCTCTTCTTTGTAAACTTAATACAAATCTTGTGCAATTATTAAAAAGGATTCTAATTTTTTTTTTTAAATAGAAGTGTGATTAAGCGAAAAAGAGTAGATAGTACTGCAATAAGTTAAACGGTAAGATAAGAGTTTTGGCTAGTCTAAGTTTTAGTATTTCCATAGTGGATTTAAAGTCCCATTCACCCTTCTAGCAACATAGCCTAAATAAACATCCCAAGATATATTAAAGTTAAATAAAATAAATAAATTAAATCTTAATTAAAGTCATACCAAGGTTTTTTTACCTAGTTTGAGAAGGGTATTAAAGAGCAACAAAGATTAATGCAAGGGAAATCCTCAGTTGGCAGATGTGTGTTGTAAATAATAATCAATTGGGATTTCAGTGGGTTTAGGTTTGAGACCATTGTTTGAAGCCAAATTAATCAAGCTAGAAAGCATTTTGTTAATAAGTTGAATGGAATCAGAGCTTAAATGAGATATATGTAAATATGTATATGTATTTATAATATAAATATATACATATTTACCTTACAATATATCTTGAGGTTACACGCCTGTAAACCTCGTGTCTACGGCGAATGTTGTTTTCTGCTGTTGACGAGTGTCTTTTTCACTCGAATGGGTGGAAAAGTATCGGAAGCAATAGTTAGAGACAACACGAACATGGAGAGCAATCCTTCCTCTCTGGCAGCACCAATTTGGAGTGCTGTGAAAGAGACAAGGTTGCCCCCCCTCAGGTACAGGGTGATAAAAGGCGAGGGATTCACCCTGGTTAAAACTTAAAAGCAAAAGAGGTAAGAGAGGAGGGCGATCCAGGTTGGAGCACAATAAGGATCGCTACAAGTCTCGAAAGGTTGGGTCCACATCCGCGTTTCAACCTGCCTTCAGGGACAGGTTCAAAAAAAGACGAAACCCCCAAGTAAGTATCATGGATTATTCATGAGACCTCTCAGGGTGTCACAAATTAATATGCAGCACAGTAAGATTGTCACAGTCGAAATCGGTAGGGACATGACTGTGCTGCAAACGTTGATTTATTTGATATAGGAACCCTATACCTATAGGGGCCAAGTAATCAGTTTAAAAAATCAAAATTTTGAACTGTTTCAGGATCTTAGGCATGACAGGCCGAGAGCTTGCATTGTGGCCCATAAGGAATTAAAACCAATCCCTATAACTAGGTTTTGTTCTAGGAACATCATAACTATATCAACTGATTTTAGGAGAAGGGGGAGCTACACAACTTTGTATTTGGCAAGTGCATATTTACCCCATGATGAGGGGGCCAACTGAGGCAGAAAAGGAACTTATATCATATTGCGACGATTATAATATAGGCCTTATTCTGGGCTGTGATGTCAACGCACACAACCTAGCATGGGGTAGCACAGATAACAATGCAAGAGGTATTTCATTCTTGGAAGCTGTATTAAGCAGAAATTTATCCATCCTGAATGCAGGCAACACTCCCACTTTTATAACAAAAAATCGAAGGGAAGTATTGGATGTATCACTAGCCTCTCTGCCAATTGCTAATTGGGTAACGGAGTGGAAGGTGACACCAGGTAAGATTTCCTCAGATAATTGTATCATTGATTTTAAAATCTCAGGAGAAGTCAACAAAATAAGGTTTAGGAATCCAAAACTAACAAACTGGGAAACCTATACTAATATTATTAACAATATTACAGGTTGCATACCTACTCCTTCTAATGTTACAGAGCTGGAGCAGGTTGCTAATAACATTATACAGGTCATAAACTCTGCATATGTAGAAGCGTGTCCTGAAAAATACTGCGCCAGAATCAACATCACTAGTGGAATAAAGATCTGGCTAGTTTAAGGAAAAGGGTCAGAGCATTACACAAAAAAACCCTGCAATAGAACTCTGAACCATACTGGAAGGATTATTTCTCCATGAAGAAAGAGTATAAAAAAGAGTTAGGGAAAACCAAGCATAAAGCCTGGAGGAACTTTTGCTTGGAAACAGAAACAATTAAGGAAAATTCTCGTATTTTTAAACTTCTGGAAAAGGATTATATTAATCCTTTAGGTTTATTACAGGATGATAATGGGGTGTTCACCACATCCTGTGAGGAGACCCTGAACCTGATGGCTAGAATTCATTTTCCCAGGTCAGACTCTTCCACTATCCCAGCTGAAGTTGAACTACCAACACCAAACTGGAATAAGGCTAATGAGGTAATTTCCTGGGAGGCCTACAAATGGGCGGCACATTCCTTCAAGAAATACAAGGCAGCCGGGGTGGATGGAATATTCCCTGCCCTCCTTCAACAGGATACACCTACTTAATGAATTAATACGAATTAATTAAATGATACATCCCAATCAGCTTGCCTACTTACCAGTAAAATCAGTGGAAACTGCCTTGCACTCACTAATAGGCAGGATAGAGAAATCATTATTTAATAATGAATATACACTAGGTTGTTTCTTCGATATCCAAGGGGCGTTTGATAATGCTGATACTTCTTGCATTATATCAGCATTAGATAATTACATGTCGACCATCACCTTACTAGATGGGTGAAGACCTACTTGGAGGGGAGGATGGTCATATGTGCTTAGGTGGTAGCACTCTTAGAATTAATGTAAAAGGAGGCTGTTTGTCACCTCTTTTATGTAAACAGCTTAATAGAACTTCTGAATAATTCAGGTTTCTACTGTCAATTATTTTCAGATGATTGTACCATAATGCTCACAGGAAGGGATCCCTTGACTCTTTCACTACTGATGGAAAACGCCATAGGATTGCTTTATAGGTGGTGTTGTGACAAAGGTTGAGGATTAATTATCCTGTTAAACTAGAATTGATAATGTTTAGTAGGAGAAGAACATTAGCTAATTTTACAACCCTAAATTTCAGGGCATAGAATTAAAGTTAGTGGATTCCATTAAATTCCTTGATGTGACACTTGACAGGAAATTTGATTGGAAAGGAATTTGATTAATAACTTATACAAGAAAGGCACTATATCAATGGTACAATGTAGGAGAATTGTCGGTAAAACATGGGGCATCAAACCATGGGTAGCCAAATGGCTATATACCGCAATTATTCTACCTAGATTCTTTTTTGCAGCTTTAGTGTGGTGGAAAGGTCTAGAAAATAAAGGGAATAGTAATAAGGTCATTTCAAAGACTAGGTTGTTTGATGATGACAGGAGCATTTTCAACTACACCCACCCTAGCACTTGAAATCATAACCAATACCACACCCCTTCACATTGAGGTTAAGGTCAGGGCACTAATCAGCTGCTACAGATTAATTAGCGAGGGCAGCTGGAATCCAAGTGCAATAACATAGGCCACTCAAAAATCTTACAACTAATGAGTAAGGTTAACGGTCAATTATTAAGCGTTAGTGATAAAAAGATTAAAACCCCTTCGGGGAAAAAGCACTTTCAGGTAGTCACCCCTTGTGATTATAATTATAGTCTGGATTATGACCATTGTAACATAGACTGCTACACAAATGGATCACTTATCAAAGGAAGAGGGGTGGTGCAGGAATCTACATACCAAAATTAGGAATCAGCATCTCCTCCCCTCTTGGCAATAACACCTCCGTTTTTCAGGCGGAAATCTGGGCCATTAATGTGTGTTGTAGAACACATGGAAAATAAAATTAAGGGAAAAGATATTAAAATCTTTTCTGACAGTCAGGCTAGTCTTAGGGCATTACAAAAAGATTTGTCAACCTCACGACTAGTGGAGGAAACTATAGATCTTATCAATAGGATCTCTTCCAGGTTTGAGAACAACGTAACCCTTATTTGGATACCAGCACATAAAGGACACCATGGCAATGAAAAGGCGGATGGCCTAGCCAAAGAAGGTTCTAATTCTGTGTTTGTCGGGTCACAACCATCAAAGGTCTAAGGCTGCCTGTTCCTATGTCCGTTTCCGGACTTACACAGGATGGTTGTGCAACCACATACCCCTGAAGGCCCAACTCTCACATCACCAGGCGTTAGCCACGGCTGCAGCCGTGCCCAGGATGGACTACGGGGAGGTGCCTGGTCGGGATATGACGTGAGGGTCATCGGGTCACAACCAGTATTACCTCACTCTATGAGCACAGCGAAAGAGAGTATCAAAAACTGGGGCATGAAATAATTCCTTAGGGAGTGGAATTTATCCCCTGGACACAGGCAATTGAAAGATTTTGTTAAGGCGATCAAACCAACAGAATTGAAATGGCTGTTCTCTATTTCAAGGAAGGGAATTAGGAGGCTGATAGGTATCCTGACCGGCCACTGCCCACTGAGAAGACACCTCTCCTTAATGGATATCCTACCAGATCCCTTTTGCGAAATAAAAGAAGAAACGGCAAGGCACTACCTCACAGAGTGTGATAGGTATGCTAGGTCTAGATTTGAAATCTTTGAATGAGAGGACATCACCAAATCACACCCCGAGATAAAATGGTCCAAAATCTTGGGGTTTGTGAACAAGTCCAAGAGGTTTATGCAGGACACGTGAGCCGACCAAGTCCCGGACCTTTTAGGGATGGGGTACGAGTCTACCCAGGCATTTAACCCCTCGGGTCTTGGTCGCCCACCCTGCATAATATATATACAATATATCTTATGTATAAGCCACTTTATTTTACAATGACAAAATAAATTTTTACATAAAACTTTTGCAAGACAATTTCAATACTTTACAATTTTATACCATCACAATATAATATCCAGGCATATGCTGATCTAAATAAAATGTAACGAGAATATGTGAATTAGGATGATCAGGGACTAGCAACGCTTCTTTGTTATTAAAAAATCTTGTGGTGGTTGGTAAAGTGACACTGAATTTTACTTACTTGAACACTGAAAACATCTGATGTTATCCACGCCCTTTCATGCATGATGTCTTTTATAGAGACACCTGTCTGACGAACTATCTGGCAAAGATCCGAAATACCTCCAGGCCTGTCGCTCACCGTCACGCAAAATTTTATGAGCCTTCCGTCGACGGCCAGGCCTCTCTCTAAGCACCTTCCCAAGATTGTAGTGTCAATGTTTCCTCCACAAAGGGGTATCACAATTCTAGGAAAGAAACTCATGCCAATTAGAAAACTGAAGGGTTTTTTTTTTTTTTTTGTTCACTGCCTACTTTTTGCCTTTCAGTTCATCGAGCTTCCCTGCCAGAATCGCAGCAAGACCGCTCGCTCCAGCACCTTCAACAACACACTTTTCGAGTTCAACCAGCCTCAAAATTGCTATAGCAATCCATTCTTCTTCAACTACAACCTAAATCATAAAATACAAATCTTATTTTATTTTGTAGGCTAACAGGTTGGACCTTGCATATCCTCTCCCTCTTAGTTAGGCCTTATCCATTGCCAGACCGTTTTGTATCCACTCATTAATTTAAAAAACATGTACAACTTTTTTTTTACTAATGAAAGATTAACTACAATAATAAAACCAGCAAAAAGGAACAAACTTATAACCCAAAGATTTCAAAGAGTATTCACCATTTTGTCTATCAGAGGTGCAGCTGCTGCAAATGCATTATACCCAACCAGAGGGACGGCCAGACCATCGGCAAGAGTCGATCGAATTTCAACTTCAGTTGGTTCTCCTTTATTCAAAGCTTTTGAAAAACTCGGACATCTGTCAGATTCAACACCCTTAACAAAAGAGGATTTAATTTGATAGTACAAAGTTAGCAAATAATAATATTTATGTACATGTAAATTTAAAAAATATACTTACAATTATTTTAATATGGGGATTGAGTGTTTTCACAGACAGGGCGACCCCAGCTATGAGACCTCCACCACCAACTGGTACAACAATTGCATCTATATCGTCCACTTGTTCAACGATCTCCAACCCCAAAGTTCCTTGCCCTGCGATAATGTCAGGGTGATCATACCTAAACAAATAGTAAAGAGTTCCAACTCATCATTACGTGAAAAAGTTTTAAAGGGAAATTTTAGAACCACATTTTTATGGCTTCAGTTGTGACCAGTAAATCATGTAACGGAGTATGTAGACTCATAGACAAAAAAGACAAAGAACGCAAATAAATATACATATTCCAAGTCTATTCAGAAATTACAAAAATTTATGGGATTTCTTGTTGAAGTCTGAGGAGCAATGAACTTTGAATTTGAATTTCAAAATTTTATACATTTTCGATCATCCTGGTATACCTTTCCCCGCTGGTTTGGTTTGTCAGACGCAACATTTTGCCATTTTCAGTGGCAGGTTTATGATTTACTTTACTTAGTCCTTATTGACTATTAGTTCCTTCTATTTGTAAAAAATTATTGACAAATGTTACTTTTACAATTTCCTTGTCAAAGTTTAGGGCTACTATATTGGTTCATATTTGTGTGTTGCCATACTGTTTACTTTTTTCTAAACTCATTTTTTAACCCAAGTATTAAATAATTAAAATCATACCCATTTATGTAGGTGTAGCCTTTCTCTTGTGCCATCGTCATAGCGTATTGTTTGGATTCCTTCATGTCGTCTCCCTTGACCACAACATCCGCTCCATACCGTTTGCAAGCTTGGATCTACAAATCGAACAATGAGAATAAAAGCCATTGTACCTACTTGATTTAATTCTCCTGACCTTCATTATTGGAGCGACCATCGGCATTACGACCGTTACTTTGATATCTAGCTTTTTCCCATGGTAGGAAAGAGCAAGTGCATGATTTCCCAGAGATGCAGATATGACCCCTTTTGCCTTTTGTTCGCTAGTCAACTTCAGAAGGGCATACCTCGCACCTCGCTCTTTGAAACTATTCGAAAGACATTAGTGAACAGAATTCAACAAAAAAATTACATTAAGTTTTAATTAATAATATTTTAAATGATAAATGATTACTTTTCAAGTTATTTGAAAAAATATATCAATAAAAATTGAATAAATCCACTCCCATTTTTATTTCTATACTGTTATTTGTAGTAAAGTAAAACTAAATTTAAAAAAAATAATAAAAAATAAAATTAATCCAGTTGATTTCAATAATTGCAATTAAAATGCAATATATTCCAGAACCTCTGTAAACAGCTTAATGTTTAATAGGATGACTTAGCTATTTTTTTATATTTTTTTTAAGTAAATTAATAATCTGAAGGGATTAACAAATTAAAATTATTTTTATTGGTTACTGAGAATTCAATTGCTAGTTACAGATTATATAAATTAGAAATAACATTCACCTTCCAGTGAACTGGAGAAAATCTTTTTTCAGATAAATATCCATCCCAGTCAATTCGGATAAATGAGATCGCTGTAACAAATTGAAAGTTTTGTAAAGGCAATACATAAAATTGGTAATTTTGCGTTTTCATACTTACAATGCATGGTGTGCGAAAAATTCCAGACTTGATCTTGAACGATGCTGATGTTATGTCAGAAAATGTGATTTTTTGGGGGTTGCCTCGGGTACAAAGTGGGTCAATTAGTGTTGAGCCTTCCACATATTTTAACTGTTCCTTGAGAAATAATCTTAAGTGAATAAATGCAAACATAATAGGACAGAACACAATGGAAAAATATTGATAAGAATTTTTAATTGAAATTGACAGATAAATAAAAATTAAATTCTTTCAATATTTTTATAACTAATATTTACAAATAGTATTAGTAATATTTCATCGCTTTTTTAATTTAAAAAAAAAAAAAAAAAAAAAAGCCCATTTGTATGTCCTGTGGTCCTGAATTCGAACCCGAGACCATTACCTTACAGTGATGAGTTGCAGCTACCAATGCTCCAAAATTACAATTGACTTTATTCAAGACAATTTGAGGGAAAAATTGGTTTCAGTATTTTTTCCTTAAACAATTAAATCATACTTGATGAAAACGTTATATAATTTTAAATTATGTTTAAGTAGCAGCTTGTAAGAATGAGGAGAAGGCATTAATACACAATCAGTGTCATGTAGTCTGAAATACATAAAATTCAAATTGAACCAGATTTGCTGTAATATCGATGAACTTCATGGTCTGTTTTAATGATATAATTTTAACTTTTGATTAAAATATATAAAAATAACTACAATGCTTTGTGTAATAACCGGATGGCGTTTTTATACAGTCAAAACAAAAAAATAAATAAATAAATAAAATAAAAATTGTAAGTGTATAAAAAGACAAAAATCATTTAATGATAGATTAAAGTTTAACCAACAATTTTTTCTCTCTCTCTAAATGATTTTACGGTGTTTTGGTGAATTTTCTTCAAAACAATTAATTCAATAATTTTTATTAAAAACTCATGAATTGCTGATCTCGTTTAATTTGGTTTACATTACAATAAGTACATTGTAATTATTATAACAATATAAATACATATAGTTTGTAATAAACAACAAAATACAGGTGTCCTTTAGTTTTTAATTTAAAACAATATTTTTTTGCCTTTGAGTGTATAATTCTTTAGACTTACATATATGGTTTGGCTAAAGAAACACTCTGCTTCATGTACAGTTTTAGTTTTATAAATAAAATTATATTTTTAATTATAAAAAACTATATTTATTTATTATTTTTTATTACTTACATCTTTGTCTTTTTTCAGTTTTGTCCTCTGTTCCATTTTCGTTTGTGATTAACTGAGTAGGCCTGTACATGTAAGTTATCTCATGACTCAAATGATAAGCAGGAAAACTAATAATTAAAATCCAAAAATCTTGACCAGGAAAAAGCCAATCGTTACTGATTAGTCAATAATCTTACAAAAACCGTTCAACAAATACAGCATCTAGAGGGGAAAAACCGTACATTTGCTGTCTGGACTCCTAAATTATAATGATCCACTCACTATTTTATTTTTTAAAGACAAATTGAAATATAATTCCAAGATATAAACTTGGAAATATAAAAATAAATCAATGAAATCATTTCATTTTTTGGTATAAGATTTTTGTCCTGTCTTCAGCCAATTATTTTTTATTAGGAATATCGGCCATAAACGTACTTCTTATCTAGGCTACAGTGTAAATAAACTGTTAATTATTATAAATATAGTTGAACTGTAAATATTGCCTCTTGAAATGATAACAGCTAGAATAACACTTTTAATCAAAACTGAAATAATTGGCACACGGAGAACGTGACTGGGTCATGCCTTGAATGGAAGAAGTACCAGGAAGTAAATATGTGAATCAAAAAACCTGTACAAGGGCTATATATTATTTATATTATTTCTACTCTTACTCAATTTTTACAGACTACTTTTTTATATTCTTTCTACTTATTCACATAGTTATTTCCTTAAATTCTCTCATGTCATGAGGACAATACATAACCCATCTTTGACCGACCAGCACAATATTATATGTAGGTGTTATAAAATTCAATGAGTTGAGTTTTTACAGAAACTATGAAACTTACAGTTTCACAACAATATTTATTGTAATTTTGTACTGTACTTTTGAACTGTACTTTTGACATCGCTGGCCTCCAGACGTCCTTGATGGATGATTTATTTTTATCGAGTACATATATATCGGTGGTAAGAATTTTCTTTATAGCATAAAGAGTATAATATTATTTCAATATGTGAATCTTTTTTTTTTTTAACCATGAAAGTTTGGCTGTTTATTTTAATTCTAATTCATTTGTGTAAAATACTTATTGAAAGAGTATATAGGTCTAACCAGAACCCTCTGTAAATAATTGTGAAAACATTGTGAAAAACCATAGAGTAAATAAAAACCTATTCTATTCTGTCCTATAATTTTATAAATTAAGCCATTGGAAAGTTATAAAACATTTATCGTAATTTAGTAATTAAATAAATAAAGAATTATGATGATTTATTGAAATTTCCTGTTGTCCTACAAATGAAAACTGATTAATGATTACTCTGATTTTTATCAAAAATACTTCTCAGATCTACCTTTTTTACCTACCTCTGACACCAATGTTTGATGTAAATATAACTATAACATTGCTGTTTAAAAAAATATTCATTTTGAAAAAAAAAGTGCATAGATTCAGTTATTTAAGTCTTTATGATTACCAAACTATAATATTTTGTAGAGTTCCTTCAACCTGATGATGAGCTGTAGAATCGAAATCCAGATCATTGAAAACAACTTGCTGTGAGTAGGAACTATCTTTTTAAAAAGATTGAACAACACACACTCTCCACCATTTATGTATTTCTATCTCATTAACCAGTATTTTGTACTAATTAATTAAGAATAAGTACATTTGGGTTTTTAAAAAGCCGTTCGTCATTAACAACTTGCTGTGAGTAGGAACTATCTTTTTAAAAAGATTGATTAATATGATGTTACACATAGGAAACCAGGGAGAAGATTGCCCTTGGCTAATGGGAGGCAGAAGGGGATGCTACTGTTAAGTCAGCATCCCTGGAAATATTTGTAATAAAATGTTTAGGTATTAACTATTTACCACCTATGATTTATANATTTTAAAGCATTTCAATATTCATCCTAAAGCCCTTTACACATACCCTTACACTCAGAAACGCCATCCTATTTTAATGAATAATAAATATTTTCCTTTAAAAAAAAATATAAAAAAAATAATTTATTCCCCCCCTGGAAGTATTATATAGTTATGTTTTTAGCGAATTTGGAATTTGTATAAGCTGTATGTAAATGGCTTACTTTTTGCTTGTCAGTTGCTTTGGATTGGACGTTTGATCCTGTTTGATTAGTCTGGGTGTTAGGAGGCATTTTCTCCATCAGCCCTCAATGCACTCACGGGCTATGTGAGAGTGCAGATAACTTAACAAATTTATCTCTACGTCTTGTTTATTCTTCTAGTAGATAATTGATCGTGATTGTCTCTCCCCTTTCTATTGTTGGATATCGCTAATATTTAATCTTTGCTGTTAGAGGAATGTTTTGTTCTGATAGGTGTTTTATTTTCCCAAATCTACTTTGTTTGTTATATATAATAGCTCCACACATTCCTCCTACTCTATATATCCTGTAAATCCTACGACTTATTTAGAAAACAACTCTTTGCAGAATTACAAATTCCTGAAGATTTAGATGGTAGTATTAAATTAGACAAAATCCTAAATCTATTAAAAATGTACTATTTCATAATGAAAGTACTCCTCTTGTAGAAGATATTTGAGGAAAGGAGGTAGAAAATTTATTATTTGTTAAATGTAAAATTTATATATATATATATATATATATATAAAATCTATATGTTAAACCAAACTCACTTTATATAATTTGGAAAATTGTAATAAAGTATAATAATCTTAATGAAATAAAGAGGGCATCTTTTTTTGTGGTAATTGCAAATTTCATAAATACTTTAACTTATTTTATAATTGTATTAACTTCAACTTTATACAACCATTTTTAGCTTCCTTTATGACAAATCACTGCAAATGTGCTAATACAATAGCTTTCAGTATTAGAAATATCGACCACTTTTTTCACTCACGAACACTCTGGATCAAGAAACGGTCTTGAAGAAGAAAGCAAATTCAGTTGTTACTGCTAAGCTTTCGACCTGTTTTAAGGTCATCAACTGGGCAAAACAATCTTAAATATGTCTATAGATTGACATATTTAAGTTTTTTACAGGCAATCTCAAATCTCCTTGAAGACCGACTCAGTCCCAACATTGCAAAGGACTGTGACAGTAGTCTATCGTTGATTATTTTGCCCTGATGATGACTTCAAAATCGGTCGAAAGTTTGGCAGTAACAACTGAAATTTCTTTCTTCTTCAAGACCATACTTTGATGCAGTGTTCGTAATACAATGGTGGGACATTTATTGAATCTTCTTTTATATTATCTTCTGATATATACAGGGTGAATTGCTACTCGTGCTACAAACTTCTCCAGTAGATTCTTCACCCTAAAATGAACAAAAAAGTTCATATTGTCCATGGTCCGATTCTCAACCATTTCAGAGTAATTTCGCTTTTTATCGATTTTGAAAGATATCACGTCCTGGCGTCGGAAAATCGTGATATCTTTTAATCTAAACATTTCTCTGAAAAT